AATTTGTTTAAGGACGGAGCTGCCATTTTGGCTGATTCACAAAATGGTGACATTATTTTTCTATCAATACCAAATGTGTTTGTCTGCCCAACCAGGTTTCCCTTTCCCTTCTTTTGGCAGCAGAACCACTCATTTAGTGAGACTGACTTGCCTCCTCCTGGTAAGACTGTCCATCATAAGGCCCTGCCTCTCTCAAAATCACAGAAATTAACATTCGACCCAAAAGTGGATATCAGTCAGAGGAGCCTAACACCCTGGACAAAGATGCCAGGTCCATAAGCAAAACTTGAGCCAATGAAGGACAGTAAGTATCTTTATCAGTGATAGAGAAAATGAGTAGAAACTGTCCTCTTGTATTTATTATCTTTCAATGAACTGAAGTTTAAAAGCCAAGCCAATCATCTATCAAAGATATCATGTGGATGTACTGCCCCCGCTCCACCTCTGAAAGACAGATTTGTATCTCTTTGGATTAGGTTTGCCTATATATGACAGAAAATCTAGAATAAGAGTATGTAAGTGAGTTGAAGGATTTTACTTAACTTTCTCACGAGACACGTCAGGGGGTAGCCAAGGTAGAGCTGATATGGCTGATATGTAGTGCAAGGAACATAAGTATTTCCTCATGGTCCAGGATGACCCTCAAAGTCCAGCCATTTAATCATTTAATCTGCCCCCTGTGTTGCAGAGAGGAGATAGGTAATAGGAAAAATACTAACTTGATCTAAGGAAATGTCCTTAGGTTTTCTTCCTTGATAAGCACCACATTAGTCTACCACTTCTATGTCATAGGTTGTACTTGATCACATGATAATAGCCTTCTAGACAGGAGAATGGAAAATGTAGTTTTTAATCTTTTGCAGTGTGCTGAATTGCAAAATAAAAATGGTACTGGTAGTAAACAGGAGGAGAATGAAAGAGTGATTGAAAGAGTGAATAAAAAGCTCTATAGTAATTCATACCACAGAGGTAAATGTAATTTATTTGGCTTCTTTCCTTTTCAGCCAGTCCTTTCTCTAGGAGGAATTAGTTAATGACAGTATTACTATAAGAACCAAAAGCCTCATTCTGCTTACTGGGGACCAGAGTTAGCATCCCATCCCCACTATGTATTGGCTACATGATCCTGATATTCCATCCAGTTGTGCTCTTCTTTTCTGCAGGAGTGCTGGTCTCTAGTTGGTGTGACTTTATTTGCAGCCTCCCTCCCTCCAGTGGAACATAAGCCCCAGGGGACCAGAACTATGTCTGTTGTGTTATTCGCTGTTACATGCTCTGAATGTGAGATAATGCTTACACACTAGGAGTCACCATATGCAAATGTGTGGGTGTAATTATTGTGGCAATTAAAGTCCTATTGAGAAAAATGTGTAATAGAAAATAATCTACCTAAAAAATTTAGATTTATGATTCAGTTCAAAATAAGCAACAAATAATATGTAATATGAAACCTTTTAAATATATACATACACAGACAAATACTATTAGGGATATAACAAATAGATTTAATATAAAATATGTTTACTAATAAAATAACATTTAAAAATAGTTTCTCAAAATCTGACCTCTTATAAAATGGACTGTCTTTGATTATATAGAAATATGTATCACTTAATTATATATATAGCATATAAATATACATATTTAAGAAAATACTAGAAAAATAAAAATAGGCACTGTTTTATATGAATCGAGAAATTACACATATTTTAACTTCTTTGTGTTCCAGAATATCTAGAAAATAGATTCTGATTTTAGTGTCCTCCCCCCAAAAAAGACTTATATCTTTTCCTAGGCAGTAGCAACAACAAAACCATCCACATATATTTGAAATACATTTTGATTCAGCTTCCACATTAAGTTATATAATAATCTAAGTAAATTTGAGTATTTTATTAATTTAAAAAATGATTTCACCATTAAAAAAAGAAGCAAAATACATGGTCAGAGAAAGTCATTTCTGGACTCTTAAGAGGTCAACTCTACGGATCTCTTACTAGGCTACAGAGAACTTGGCTCTTTGTTTGGCACCATGAGCTTGGCTTTGAGATCTCAAACTGTACTAAGCATTAGAATTGCTCACATGAGATTCAAGCAGAAGGAGGACACTGGCTTATCACTCTGAATTCAGACACCGGCCCTGTTTCCATCTAAATGCATGCCGTGGTTCGCTCTATGGATGGACTCACAGAAACCCCTTTGGCTCAGAATCAGCTAAATCTCCCTGAATTCCAATAGCCAGTGTGAGAATATGACGAGCTGCTAGTTAGTCAACCTACTGAAAGAGGGTTTTGTTTTTGTTTGTTTTGATTTTGGATTTTTATTTAAATGTTGCTAATTTTTCCTAGTCTGAAATCACAGAAAAAAAAGACATCATATTTATGAATGTTCCTGAAACATTAAACTTAGAGATTAGAAATTCTACTGCCAAACATTGATCCAAGATTGGAGGGAGGCAGCAGACAAGGAAATGTTCTAGAACCTTCCTGGAGTGCAAAGATCCAATGATGAAGCCTTGAGGAAATGAATGTGGCTACAAGTCATGACAAAGCACAACCTCCTGGAAGCAGAATTTCACTTGCTGAGTGTGAGATTTGAACTTTTTGTTTTTCTTATTCAGAGAGAGAAGGGAAGACTGATAGTCACCAAAATGGTAGAATGTAAATCCTGATTAAGCAGTTATTTCTTTTCCATTGACTCAGAAGAATTGTTAAGTGGCCTGAAATTTTATGCTGTATCACAAGTACATTTCTTTTCATTTTCTAGACTGGTCTGAATTTAGGTCCCCTTCCATATAGGCAATTCTATTGATTATGGGACTCCCAACGCATAGCTCTTTTTTTAGAGAGAGCTAGGAAAATTTGTTGTACGTGATTAATGGATGCTGAACTAATTCCCATCCAGGATAGATATTATTTATCATAAAATCAAGATAAGGAGACTGTGTCTTCCAGCTTAGCATTAAAGAAAGAAATAAGGACTATCCAGATGGTTAGATCACCGAACTTTGCAATTCCAAAGTGAATTGCAAATTCACTTCACAATTAAGGAGCAACGGCCTGAATGATAGGGACATAAAGATTCATTGTGCTACTTTATTATCTTATACAACTAAAAGTACCTGAATAAAATAATTTTAATGAAAATGTGTTATATATGATGTCAGAATGTTCAATGTGGAATGATGTGAGGTTTCTCAGAGGCGATCATGAAGATTTTGAAATCAACAGCTATTGTGAAGTAGTATAGGGCTCATGAGGCTAAGGCACAGAGCTTGCCCACTACCATGCACCACCTCCATGTGATGTGGCAACTGCACTGAGCTCTGGGCACCAGCAGGTAGGTATACCGTGGATGACAAAGGAACCCTGTTAGTCATAAGAATACAATGCACCTCTGCTCTCAGGCACAACCCAAACCTGGTTTTAGAAAACTTCATTTTAGAAAAATAAATATGTTTAAATTAAAAATTACAAAGGAGTCACCTTATTTTGCTGTGAGTAGCAAACATATCCACATCTGGGACTGCTCATCATATCATCCATCTAAACAGTCATTTCAAACCTAAACAAATATTATAACATAAGTGGAAGAAACTTCTGAACTAAAATATGAATACGCCCCATAACATCATATTGCCACTGTTTCTGCTTCTCTGGGTGTCGAGCTCATGACTCTTTCCCTTTCTCAGGAACAATTGCAGCACAAATCTGTTATTATCTCTAGTCTATCTATCACTGTCAGAGTTTTGGTCTCCAGCTTTCTGCACATCTTGTTGAACCCTCTGAACTCAAATCACTCTCTTATCAGACTCTGAAAAACACTATCTCTGGAATCAACACTCAAAGCAGAGGTAACTATCCCCTAGCAGAGAACACAAAGGTTTTGACACTGTTTTTCCAACAATGTCACCTAGGAAAGTGTTCATTTGCCCAGCAACCTCATAAAATCCATGTGGGCAGTAGCCAGCTAAGTCTACATACATCCTGGTTTTTCCTTGTATCACTATTTATACCTGTTTTGCCTTGCTTTTTTTCCTACTTTGGGTGCATATCTTGCTAAAATCCAGATAAAGTTGTGCCTTTTTATATCATGCCCTACTAACAGAGCTAAAATTACCTGCAGATTTTGGTTTGTATCCAACAAACACTTTTCAAGCATCATTTTTTATTCCCTGAAATTGTAATTCTTGAATTCCTCAACATGTTATCAGAGGGAAAGAAAGGTGTTAAAATTTTTTTAAACTTCCTTTACTGTAGTGCTTTTTAAAAATTTAGATACAAAAAAGACTAACATGAAAAGAGACTATAGAATTTTTCTGGTTTTCTCATTCACTAATTTGCATTATTTTATTTGTATAATAAGCTATTCATACTTATTTTTATCTTAAAAAAGTAGGAAAATACCAAAATATCAAGTAATGAGTAATGGTTGAAATAGCTTTAGAGTCAATTACACAGAGAAACATCTGGAAGTTGTTACTAAGATTTGTCTCTGGGTGGAACAGTAATATTAGAGGGATTTTATTTTCATCATTGTTCCTCCTTTGCTTGAATGTGGTTTTTTTCTGCAATGATCATGACATTTTATTTTTAGAAAGTAAGAATAAACAAAACAAGCATAAAATGAATTGAAAGGAATAAATAAAAGGGATTCCTTCAGTTAAAAAATCATTTGTAACCAAAAAAAATTTTTAAAAGCCTGCTCTCCTTGGTATTTTTGACTCTGTATGTAGGAAATGGGAAACCACTTGCATCGTACCTGATCTGGGCATTTACGTTATTTCACCTAGTATAAGAGTGTCAGTAGCTAAGTCATTCTACCATTTATTAAATTTTATCATAATTCCAGTAATAAAGAAATTTAAGGAAAGTAGAAATCTCAGTTAGCATCTTGAGATGGTATCTAGGTTGTCCAGTCATGTCTGGAAGTTTTTCCTTTGATCTATCTTCTGTTCTTGATGGGAATTTATTTCTTGATGAAAAACTTCCTCTTGGTGATCATCCTACCCATAGCAGCTTCACTTCTTTATTTCTCAAGCTGTAGATGAGTGGATTTAACATGGGGATGACTGCTGTGTAGAACACTGACACCACCTTATTCAGGTCCAGAGAAGAAATGGCACTTGGTCGCATGTAGATAAAGAAGAGAGTCCCATACAAGATGGAAACTGCTGTTATGTGAGAAGAGCAGGTGGAAAAGGCTTTGCGCCTCCCATCAGCAGAGCGTATCCTCAAGATGGCAATGAGGATGTAGAAGTAGGAGATTATAATGGTCAGGCTACTGACAACCAGTACAGCTCCAGCCACAATAAAAACTAACAATTTATTAATGCGGGTGTTAGCACATACAAAAGAAAGAAGGGGAGACATGTCACAGAAGAAATGATTGATAATATTGGAGTGGCAAAATGGAAGTCGAAAAGCAGCAGTTGTGTGAGTCATGGTGTTGAGGAAACCAACAGCATAGGGTCCAACCACCAGTTGTACGCTTTGGGACATAGCGACTGAATACGAGAGTGGGTTACAAATGGCCACATAGCAGTCATAGGCCATGGATGCCAAGAGAAGGCACTCAATGGCCACAAAGAATCCAAAGAACCACTGCTGTAAGGCACAGCCCAGGAAAGAGATGGCTTTCCTTTCAGTGAAGAAGTCACTGAGCATCTTGGGACCCACAACTGATGAAAAGCAGATGTCCACAAATGACAGGTGACTGAGAAAAAAGTACATGGGTGTGTGAAGGCGGGAGTCCATGTGGATGAGAATAATCATGCCTAAGTTTCCTATCATAGTAGTGAGATAAAAAAGCAAGAAAAGCAGGAAAAGGAAAACCTGTAGCTGGGGGTGGTATTTTAAACCTATGAAAATGAATTCTGTGATCCTTGTATAGTTTGTGTCAGCCATCACTTGGTTTTGGTCTCTATGGTGAGAAAAATAAAGAACTGATCATGCTCTCAATGTCTTCAACTCAAAACACAATGGCCTAGGAAAAGAAATTACAGGTAGAATTTACTTTGGAACAGCAAGCCTTGTATGCACATATGAATAATAAAAGAAAAAGGAAAAAAAAAAGCTTAAATAAAATAATAGCAAATTAACTATACCACCATTGTAAAGAATAATAAGACTTAATTGTTTTAAAGAGAAAATTGGGGTTTAATTAAGAAATAGTTAGAAAATCTATAAAATTATTCACTACCTTTATAGACTAAAAGGAGAAGTATTATGATTATTTCTATGGAAATTAAACACACTGAAATGCTCAGAAATTGTTTATCAGAACCAACTTATAAAAACTACCTTTCCAATATGCACTTTTATGATTCCCTCTGAGAGCTTTACACAAAATTCTGTTGAGTTGAGTGGTTTTGCAAATTCTTATTGAAATATTATATTCAGTTCTAACTTTCTGAATAATTTTCCTCTAACTTTATCATGAAAGAATAAATATATGAGAACCTAGAAAAATTTGGGCCCTGGAGAGGGTAAGAATGACGATTCTTATCCTAATTAAATGGATTTCCCCTAGCTAAATGAAAAGACTTTGACCTTGAAGGATGCAGAGTGGAGTCAATGGCCAGCTCTTCCATTTAGTATAAACCTGATTGAGACAAGTGGCTCAAACTCTCTGAAGTCCCATTTTCCCCAGCTGTAAAGTGGAGCTAGTAATTCATCACAAATAAAAGTTGAAGAAATAAGTAGGTTGTTAATAAAATATGTAGTAAATGTCTATCATATAGTAGATTCTCCAGCAGATGTATGATAATAGAATTACCATTTAGGAATAAAATATTACATACTAATTATAACTTTTTAAAATGATGATGTTAGCATGGAAATAAACAAACAAAATCATCAAAGCTATAGACTCTAAAAGAAACTACACACAGATTTATTTGTATCACACATCGGCAAGAGTAAGTTTGAAAGTCAATACATCTTTTTAAGATGAAGAATTCAAAAGGATTATCAAGAAAGAGGAAGAATTTCTGGAAGGATTAATTATTTTATGATAATTATTCAAGAAAATTGAACATTAGTATGATAGGCAGAACTTCTAAAATGGCTCTTCATCTGTGTCTTGGAATCTGTCAATGTGATAAGCTATCATTTGCATCATTTTGTTATGCTATACTGCACAGTTAACTTTATAAGAGGTTTATTAGCCCAGGAATGGATCCAGACCTTTCTCCAGTTATAACAGAAGTAGAAGACAGTGAGTACCAATGCATGGAAAGGAGTAGAAGTGATATTGCTAGTCTTAACATGAAAGACCACATGAGAAAGAATGTGAACAACTGTAAGTGGCTACTAAAGGCCTATGATTGACAGCCAGAGAGAAACAGTCACTTCAGTCCTGCAAGGGCAAGGGCTGAATTTCATTGACCACTCAAATGAGCTTTGACATGGATTTTCCCCCACAGTCTCCAGAAAGGTGTCTCAGTCATACAACATGTTGACTTTAGTTTTGGGAGGCCATGAATTGAGAATCAAGTGATGAAGTATCTGGATTTATGGTTCACAGAATAGGCAAAGTGGTAAATTTGTGTTGCTTTAAGCTGCAAAGTTTGTGGTAATACATAGAGCAGCAACAGAAAACTACTACACACAGTACAAAATTCTTTTAAATGGAAATAGACTTATTATAGACATCAGGGAAGTCTGAAAAGCCTATAAACCACATTGCTTGATAAATTACATAGCCTTTTCTTCTGTTCTGATCTAGGATCAATAGGGAACAGAATTTGCTCACCTTCTCCAAACCTACCCAATTTGAGGAGCCTTTTCCTTACCATCTATTTTAAAAGAAAACCTTCTACCCTCATTTGTTCCCTTCATTGATTTTTGTTACAAGTGATACCACAAAGAGATAAATTTCTAATTTTTTGTCTTTCTAACCCACTAGCCCATAACTTCCATCAGAACTTATCCTTCCAATATGAATAGTACCCAATAATGTGCCTATACATAACAGACCCAAAAATATTGTGACTTGATTAACACTTGCAACATTCATTGGCTCCTGTTTTTTCTCTAGTTGCATAGCTTAGTTTATTATGACCCAAACATTATCACCAATGCAGACATGAAAATTAGAGAACATTGGTGAAGGAAAAGGAAAATGACAAAAATTCTAGCCTTCAAAATCCATAGGCTAAAATGAATTCTCTTTTTAAGTGGACCTGATTTCCAGAGGCTGAAAAGGATGGAAAGGGGTGGAGAGATTGGCTGGATAATATAGTGAAACATTAGTTAGAAAGAAGGAATAAGTCCTACTGCTCCACAGAACAGTCTGACAACTCTACTTCAAAATGACTTATGTATTTCATGAATCACAACCAAAGGGTCTCAAAGTCTGAAAACATATAGTAATAAAGTGATGAAAATATTAGTTACCATGATTTTACCAGTATCCATTATATACCTGTATTAAAATATTGCACTGTACCTCCTAAATATGTACAAATACTAAACAAATATAAAGTTATTTAAACAAATTGTTAAAAGATTAAAAGACTTTTGAAAGAGTACATTAAAGACAAGGCAGTATGTGGATCTCAAGGAATCTTAAATCTATATAAAGCATATGTCTTCTACTTTAATTTCTTGGATTTGATGCTATATGACAGAAACAAAAGGGATCATATACTTGAAAAAAATATTATTTCTGGAGAAAAAAATGTGGGGACAGAATCATGAAGTAATGGGAAGCCATTGATGCTTCCTGGTTGTCAATTTTATCAATTGTGAAAGGTAAATTAATTCCTTGCCTACCATACAAAACTTAAAAATAAAAAAGCTGTAATAACTATTATTGTATAAATAACAGTAATATCTGCCACTGCATTAAGAACAGAAATGCTTTCTGTAACATGAGAAGCATAAAACATTTACTTACAGTGGCAAAATTCCAAAAGCTGTTACTATAACTACAAAGAACAATGGATATAAAACTTTTCTGTAAAAAGTATACTCTAAACCTAAAGATTCTTTTTGAAGAGGTCATTGTTTCTTATTACCTGAATAATACACATTATAATAGTTTGTTTAAAATGATTCATGAAAAAACTTATAGATAATTGACAGACTCAACATTCTGTTAACCAAAACTGAGGTCACTTTAGCTTCACTGACTTTGAGTTTTTCATTATTTGGAATTTAACATAGAATGTCTCTTATCCTATTCACAAAATTTTGGAATATTTACTAAAGTAATATAATCTATGTATCTCAGTATAAAGTTCTAAATCTAAGTTTCTTGTAATAAAAACAAGAAACATTGGGAAAACACACAATTATTATCTAAAGATGCTATGTGACATGACTTATCAAAGCTACAGAATAGTAGGAGTGAATCTCAACTTAAATACAGGTGTTCCAACATCTAGCTTCTATAATGCTTTATCTCCCAAACTGTAGCAAAACTTCTTTTCAAATATTCTTCTGTATGAATCTTTGACCTCCTTGTTTCTCAGACTGTAGATAAGTGGGTTCAACATGGGAATCACTGCTGTGTAAAACAAAGACACCACTTTATTGATATCCAATGAGAAACTAGAGCTTGGACGAACATAGATGAAGAAAAGAGTCCCATAAAGGATAGAGACAGCTGTCAGGTGTGAAGAGCAGGTGGAGAAGGCTTTGCGCCTCCCATCAGCAGAGCGGATCCTCAAGATGGTGATGACAATATAAATGTAGGATACCAGGATGATCACTCCACTGAGAACTCCAAGGGCTCCAGCCATGATGAAAAGCAAAAACTGATTAACCTGAGTATCTGCACATGCCAAGGAGAGAACAGGAAGAAGGTCACAGAAAAAGTGATTGATGATACTTGGACCACAGTATGGTAGACGAAAGGCAAAAGTCATATGGGTGGCAGTGCTTATAAGGCCCATAATATAAGGTCCTGCCACCAGTTGCACACAGACCCGCTGGGACATAATAAGTGTATACAGCAAGGGCTTACAGATGGCCATATACCGATCATATGCCATGGAAGCTAGCAGGAAACATTCTGTCACTACAAACTGACTGAAAAAACATAACTGAACAGCACAACCAATGAATGAGATCACCTTCTTCTCCACAAAAACATCAGACAACATTTTGGGACCAATAACAGAAGAAGAGAAGGCATCCACAAAGGACAAGTGGCTGAGGAAAAAGTACATGGGGGTGTGGAGTCGGGAATCCACCCAGATGACAGCAATCATCCCCAGGTTTCCCAGAAGAGTGACAACATACACAACTAGAAATGTCACGAAGAGGACAACTTGGATCTGGAAGGATTTTGTTAAACCCATGAAAACAAACTCAGTCACCATAGTTTGATTTCTGTTACTCATTCCTCTAATTCAATCTGTATGAGCAAAGGAAAGGATTTTCTATGAAAACAAATTAAAAACTAAAGTCTTCTTAATTTTACTTCTGAACTTAACTTCTATTAATCTAAGTTCTACTCCTCGCCATCCTTCTAAATCATGCCTAACTCTCTTAGCCTTCTAGGTGCTTCTGGGTTACTCACTGGAGCACACTGAGCACTTCAGTTTTATCCTTGTCAAGAAATGATTTTTGTACAGAATCAAATATTAGACCTAGAAGTAAACTATGAAGATTGTCTAATGCAAATCCTCTAAATTCCAGGTTACCTATCTCTAACACCTGCTTTTGAATTAAGAATATTTTAGGAGACATTGTGTAGAAAAAGAGAATTTTGTGGATTCAGGGAATTCAGACAAACAAACTTTGATCCAGGTTAAAGATAAACAGATATTAGGAATATAACTTCCCCCACATTCATAGATTCTGCAGAAACAAATAGTCAAATTGTCACAAAGCAATTTCTGAAGTCTAAGAGATAGAAGGGCAGGAAGAAAAGAAAATGCTCAAGCAATTCCATATTTTCTCTTCCGGAATCTACTATCTAAGTCCTTCATATCTTTGTGAATACCCACTAATTCAATCATCCTTTATATAATTTTGAAGTCCTTCAAAAAAGAACCAATTCTTAAGTATTGATTGTTGTATGGGCACTTGGGAGAGAAAAACAAATACTTAAAAAAGAAGGGGACATTCTGGGACATTTATCACAGAGAAATGAAAACTTAAAACTACAAACAACCTATACATAATTCTTCACAGAAGCTTAATTTATAATAGCAAAAAAACAAGATGTCCTACACTACATGAAAGGTTAAACAAATTATAATACATTCTACAAAATGGATTGATCTCAAGGGCACTAGACTGAGTTGAAATAACAGAATTTGAAAAGTTCACATACATTATGAGTCCATTTAGATGGAAAAGTTGCAGAGATGGAGTGGTTTTCAGGGATAAGAGATGGCAGTGTGACTAAAAAGGAAGAACTTTGTGCTGATAGAATAGTTCTGATTGTGATGGCAGTTGAAAAATCTACATATGATAAAATGATAAAAAATGATACAGACAAGTCATTTCCCTATTTTGATAGTATGTATGTAGTTACATAAAATATTACCACAAGTGAAAATTAGGTGAAGGATATATGGGAACTCCTTTGCTATCTTTTATAAATCTGTTATCATTGCAAAATAAGCATTTATTTTAAAAGAATAAAATGGTGAATCAGAATAAGGGAAGAAAGGACAGCACAAGAAAGTAAAACTGGAAAATATAGGCATAAATTTTGGACCTTGAAATAATCACATTCACATAAAATCACTCCCAAGGTGTGTTGCCATACAAGTTTGACAGAAATCTACCAAATTTTTCTGTAGTGAGCAAACTTGAGCAGGTTTTGGATTAACTAGAAACTATTCACAGGAAAAGTTGCTGACCTCTTGCAGTTTCAGGGACAATGGAGTTCAGAAAACAAAAACCTGGAAAGATGAGATTAAGGTTAGAAGGAAAACTCTATCTTAGCAGTAAAATGTTTCAAGGATGTTATACTTTCTAGATATAGAAACTCTTTTCAGGCTACTTATATTTTTCTTAGCTATTAAATAAGGAAGAAAGAAACAAACCATTTTAGGTGTCACAATGAAATTATAGAAAAAATCATAGGCTGAAACTGAATGGGCAAATCTATGTTCTCAAACGATTGCCCCTGTAAATAAAGATACTGAAGTACATGATTAATGGTACTTGTTATGCTTTTAACTTTTGTGTTCAACTTGAAATCCTATGTGCAAATTGTTCCTGACTGCAAAAAAACTCTATTAAGCTATATTTTTTCCAGTCTTACACAGTATAAAGATGTTCATTGAGAAAAGCCATTATTCTACAAACAAATGTACTTTGGGCACTAGAAGATTTAGGGGTTTTGTTTTCTATTTGAAGTTAAATAAATTATAGGTGAAGGGCAGAAATTAAGATCCACAGAAAAGATATCCAAATGCTAGCATTCTATTTTCCATCACATTTCAGTGTCCCTATGCCAAACACACACACACACACGCACATGCACACTCATACACATGCGCACACACAAGCACACACACATAAATTTTTTAAAAACCATGCCAAAATATACATTCAAGTTAGGTCATTTTAAACAAAAGACACAGACTAAATATTTCATGTGTACCAAATTACTCATGGCAAGCTTAGAGATGGTACTTTCCCAGCCAGTGAAGTCAGTTTGAATACCTAGCCCCCGAAGTATATAGGCTCTCAATTAATTCAAGTCTCAGAAGAAAGCAAGCCAGTATATGCCTTCCTATCTAGAATGAACTGGTTTGCAAAACTAGCAGTTCCTGATATGAAAAAAGTTTCCCTAAAAATGTATACTTGCACTTCTTAGTGTTTTCAGATACCTCAAAAAATAAACAGTGTGCAATACCATCTTGAAGCTGAGCCTCCCAATAGCACTTCAATAAGGAGCACTAACTTAGTTATGCACAACACACCTGAGAGATAAGACCTCTGAGTAAATTGGAGTCACCTCCCACATGGAATCAGAAGCCCAGGAGACCAAACCCATAGAGTAGATATTAAAGGGAACATTTTTCAGATTTATTAACACACAACTCACAAAGAAAATTGCATGTATTAAGGCTGTGTGTGACTCAAAAGTAGATCATATATTTAGCATGTACAAAGCCCTCATTTTAATCCAAGATATATGCATTGGTAGTATATGATGTGATGTTTTTCTCTATGTAGACATTGTGAAACAATTCATTCAAGCTAATTAATTAATCTCTGATCTTATATTCATTGTTTTTGTGGTGAGTACATTTCAGAACTATTCTCTTGGCAATCTTCAAATATATTCTATTTTAACTTTAACTATAGTTACCCTGCTCTACAAGAAATCTCCAGAACTAATTAAAATATTTTTTGAGAAAATTGTTTTGGAAACTGAATCAAGTGCAACTGCTAAAATAGCACTCTTTCTCTTGTGGGAAGTAACCTGTCACACCCTTTAGACATACTGGCTTTCAGTCCTTCTCATTATAAACCACTTCTTCCTTGTAAAATGATCACCCACCTTTGGCTTTATGCAGATGTGTGATCTCTAAACTAGAATCTCTGTGTTTAAAAACATTGACCTTGTCTGGTAGTGATTAGTAGAGGCTTGGAAGAATAGAAACTACAAGGGAGAGCTGAATATTAGTTACCAAGACTCAGGTAGATCAGCATAATAAATCCTGGAGGATTTTTTAAATCATACTGGGGTGATCACAGTCACAAAAACCTATTGTGTAATTTATGAAACATTAGAAGAGGTAAGCTTGAGGCTCCAAATATAAAATAATGATAAAGAGATGGAAACACTAATTACCTTGTTCAATACATATTATATACATATATTGAAGCACATATTGTATATATGTATTGAAACTTCAGACTGCACAATTATTAAGTATTCTTCAAAAATTTTTTCTGGCTGTATTAGTATCTGAACTCAGGACTTAAGCTTACTTAGCAAGAGCTCTAGCACTTGAGGCATGCCTCCAACACTTTTTGCTTTAGGCTCTCCTTCAGCTAGGTTCTTATGCTTTTCTGCTGGGCCGGCCTCAAACTTTGATCTTCCTACCTGTTCCTCCCCACAGACCTGACATGAGCCACTGTGACCAACAAACAAAATATTTAAATGATTTAGACAAAAGAAGTGTGCTCTAAAAAGCTAATATAGGGTCAATAATTGTACCATACATGCACCCTATGTCTTGGCAGAATCTTAGTTTGCAGAAAAAAAGAAAAAGCGCCAGATTAGTAGATCCTTGCTAACACGAATCTGAAGTATTTTGGAATCATGAGCTCAGGGTTTCAGAGTCCTTCAGCTTTCCACCATCTTAAGTGGGAGGGTGAATATGCTATGAATACTATGTACACATTTAGGTAAATGAAAAAATGATACCTGTTGAAACTGTTCCAGAAATGGGGGCAAGGGTGAATAGTAGAGGGGATAAATTCAAGCATGATATATTTGATATATTGCAATAACTTTTATAAAAACAACAATGTACCCCCACCCAGCACAACAATAAAAATAAAAAATAAACTAGCATGTAAAAGGGATGAATTGGGTAGGAACATTTGGTAGTGAAAAATTCACTATCCTCATCATTCATTTGAGTAAAAATACTATAGTAGAAATTCTAAATTATATTTATTCTGTCTAAAAAACATTGTTTAACTTTGGAAATTATTAAACTCTAATCTGCCATTTTACTTTCAAATTGTAAGAAATACTAGGTGATTATAAATATTACACAGGTGCAATAGACCATGGATATGAATACAATAAAAAAAGAAGAAAGAAATGTTAATACTTCCAAAGGGACCATTGCTATATATATATGTTTATATATATTTGTATATATGATGTGTATATATGTACATATATATGCAAATATATGTATGTGTATGTATATACGTAAGTGTACATGCATATATATCATACATGATATACATACATCATATAGATATGATACTCTACTTTATAAATTTGTACAATTTAAATAAATAAATGAAATTCAAAGTTAAAGTCTAGTCCTGATCAAAATACTTAGCAATCAGAATAGGAGAATGGTGCACAGCAATGCTAGAGATCTTGTATTTGGTTTGGGAGTTACTAGATGGATGAGATCATTATAACTAGAAAATTTAGAAATGGTCACGTGGTTATGATGGTGTTCACAGGTAGGCTAAGATACAGGTAAAAAATAAAACTGAGAGCAGTTTTTTTTATGTGGTGATGTATAGTTACAAATTGTGACAGCATCACTGAGAGGCAAACAGTAGTGCATGACCATGTGAAATATTCAAATTCTAAGACTGAAGAATGCATTTGGGCCTGAACTCCATAAAGTTCTTAACATCAGGCTAAGGAGGTTTGTTTATTTATTTTTAATTT